CCCCCCCACGAAAAAAAAAAAAACAATTTCCAGGTGTAACTTTCCCCCATTCCTGGCCTCTGTGGGGCACGTGGTTTCCCCTCCAGGAGTGGTGGTTGCGGGGGGCATTGGCTTCTGAGTCACGAGTGAAGAACTGTTGGCTTCTCTCAAAGGTCCTAGACTACCGATTCCATACCGGGAAAGACGCTGGTTTCTCCGCCTTACACCCAAAAGGACTGAAGAACGGTTGTGCTCCGTCACTCTGGGTAGAGCTTTGAGGATCTCCATCATCCAGCCAAGATGAACCATGGGCTCTCGGCCTCTCTCCAACGCTTCCCGGTGCGGATACTACGTTGGGAAAACCGTTGAGCGTCTCCATCCTCCAGCCAAGATGAGTGAAAAAGGGTCGGTTTCTCTCCAACACTGTACAGTTCCGGTCCTACCTTGGGAAGGGCGTTACCACCACCCATCCGTGAGGAGTGAGGGATGGTCGGTTTCTCTCCAACACCTTTCAGCGCTGATACAACGTTGGGAAGGATGTTGGGTACGTCTCCACCGTCTGCCCAAGATGAGCGAAAGACGGTCGGTTTCCTCTCCAACACCTTCCGTTGCTGATACTGTGTTGGAAAGGACATTGCGGGTCTCCGCCGTCCATCCAAGGGGAACCAAGGACGGATGGCGCTTCTCCAACACCTTCCCGTGCTGTTACCAGATGAGGAAGGGTATTGGCACCCCCATCATCCATTCAAGATGAATTAATAACAGTCGGTTTTTCTCCGGTGCTGATACTGTGTCTGGGCGTCTCTATCCTCCGTCTAAGAGGAGCAAAGGATGGGCGGCTCTTTCCAACACTCCCCAATGCTCCTACCAGGTTCGGACGGGCGTCGGGCCTCTCCGCCGTCTACCCCGGATGAGCAAAGTACGGTCGGTTTCTCTCCGGTGCCAAGATCGTCCCCACCGTCGGTCCGAAAGGAACCGGTCAATTCTCATCGTGTGTGGGAGACCTCCTCATTCGAGCTCGGCCCACAACCCCCTCCCCAAATTATTGTATAAAAGAACCCACCCACCCCAAAATCCCGGTGGCACGGCACACAAAAAGATGCCACGTCTCCCTTTCTTTCCCCCCACCCCTCCCGCCCCCGCGGTCAGGGGTGGGCGGCTGGGCAGAGAGGAAGGGCCCTGCCCCTTCACCGCGATTTCCCCATGGCTGGGGTGGGGGAGGCAGCTATACTCGGGTGGTGGAGTGAGGGTGGGGCAGGGTGTTGTTGTGCCCTGTGGGGAAGGTGTTGAAAGGGTGCAGGGCTGGCATGCCCGTAATGGTACTGGGGATCATGGTGATGGTGTTGGGCGTCATCAGGGGCACGTCGTCCGGCGCCCGGCGCAGCGCGAGGGTATAGTCCGGCGGGCAGGCCGGGCGCAGGATCTCGTAGGGTCTCAGAGCCTCCAGGTCGTGAGCGTCGTGCTCCGAGTGTTTGATCTGCAGGGACATGAGCTCCTCCTCCTGGCCGCCGTGCACCAAGTCGTTGGCCGCGTTGCGCTGGGGGCTGAGGCGCCGGCCGCCGAGGACACCCGCCCGCAGCTCGTGCCGCTTGTCCCGCTTGTAGTAGAGGGCGGCGAAGGCCAGGATGTTGAGGAAGAGCAAGGAGGCCCCCACGGCCACGGTGACGCTCAGCTCGGTGGAGTAGTCCCGCGAGTCCCCCGGGAAAGGGGCGTAGCGCCGGCGGTCGTCCGCCTCGTCCTCGTCCGGCGGCAGGGTGGGGAAGGGCCGGCGGGTGGTGCTGGGCCCCGCCCGGGAGCCGGGGGGCCAGCGGGTGCCGTAGGGCGGGACGCGGGTGGTGGTGGAGGTGTAGACGGGGTCGTGGAGGTGGTGGAGGTGGGGCACCAGCTCCAGCCAGAAAGCCACCTTGTTGGCCCGGTAGTTGTCCCGTACCCGGGGTTTGAGGCCGATGTGGAGGTACTGCTTGTCCTTTGTGTTGAACTTGGTCCACACCACCTCCTCGAAGCGGTTGGGCTTGGTGTGGATGAACTTGGTGTCCTGGGGCACCGGCTGGTT